ACCCTAACACGCAATACGGGTGCAGGTGTTGCCAGCCAAGCTTTCGGGCGCCCGCAACAACACGTTGACCTTCCGGCACCATGCCATGAAGAAAACATAGCAACTCTTGCACCTCTGTTACGGTTTACCGTTTAGGATGTTGCGGATGCAGCTTCAAGTAGGGGAGATGGAATGGTTTCCTGTGGTTTCGAATTAATTCATCCCACTAGCACTAACCTGCATCCTCTGATCCCAAGATCATACCAGTCCTCGGGTTGATTTGTAGGTGTTTCCCAGAAAACTTGAGACTGATGCGAGAAGTTTTTGCATACGCGGAGGAACATTTCGCCTTAAGAGATGGAATCAGTCAGTCGACCTCAAAGGTTTGGACTGCATCTGAATGTACTGATGCGCTTTGCTGACAGGACTTCGCAATATGGTTGCCAAGGGTACTGAGCTTGCGAGCCACAGAAAGTTTGTGAGGTGAAATATATAGGCCCTGTTGATTTCTTGCAGCCTTCAACTTCAACCTGCTACCTCAAAAATTGGCTCTTGACTCATAGACCTTAGATCACGCAATTCTTGATGAACATTCAGCCTGAATCTCACATAGGCACAGAACCTGCAGATCAGTTGACGGAATTGCTTGGAGGATAGGCTATCTAATAAGATTACAGAATGTCTGCTTGCGAGCCAGGTGCTCATGAAAAGGACAGTGTTGTGTTTTGATTTTGCACCACCTCGGACCCCTCAACATGTTTTTTTTTTTTCCTGGGGTACGAGCTGTATGAGGTGTATAAGGTAGTGCAAGATTTCCGCCAGGTGTCAAGTCCGATCTCCTTGATGTTGAGGTAACAAGGATGAGCATGTAACCTCCAAGCCTTAGCTACGCATTAAGAGGTGCATCTAGTTTTATCTTGGTGCCGGTTCTAAGGTCTCCACATGTTTTCCTGTGTTATCCTCCGCAGTTCCACATTTTTTAGGACCTCCCTGCATATGGAGCCTGGATTGCGAGCACTATTATGGAGCCCCAAACCTTGGCAGAGCGAGGAACAGCGCCAAACCCAAGGTGGTATGAAAGACAACGCTCCCTGCCTCCCTGGCTTGGCGACAGCACTATCAAGCAGGGATGCCAGGCAGCTGATCAAAATGGTATTTATTGGAGTTATATAGGGAATATATTCGGGTTCTATAGGGTTATTTGCGGAATATATTGGGCTTATACGGGGATGATGGAAAGAAGATGGACACCAGTATGTTATATAGGGTTATATTGGGGTTGATTTCCGTGATTAAGTTTTTTGGGCAGTTCCTGAGTTCAGGGTGTAGAGGTCACTCAGGGTTCGGCTTGCCAAGGGAGGCAGGTGGTTTGTGGATTTTCTTGGCAACTCCCATCACTGTAGTACGTGTGTTTTTGCCTGAGAATTGAGTCTGTCGCGCCATGTTCGCTCCATGAGCATGTGCAAGTCTCACGAGGAGGTTTGCCCGGTTTCTAGGAGTCTGCGAACTATTCAAATTCTAAACCCCTAAACCCTAAACCCGAAACCCTCAACCACTCCGAAACCTTATACCTCAAACCGAAAGCCGCGAATAGTCTCATGATGGAAGCGGCTTGGTTGCCTTATGGACAGCCTGGTATTGTGGCCATGACATGGATGTGAATGACTACAGGATGGTCATAGGAGCTGTAAGGGTTTAGGGTTTAGGGTTTAGGGAGGTTTAAGCAGGATGCAGGCTGCAGTATTGAAAGCAATTCCTGTCACAGAAAGAATGGAGTCAAAAATCAAAATTCAGCTTCAAGAAATATTCACGCGACGTATGTATTCACTTGAAAAATGCAAGTATGACATTCGCAAAAACAGGATGATCGCTTTAAATCCTCAACCCTAAACCCTGAACCGCATGATGAAGGCTGGCTCTGGCACAGATTGCAGACAGGAGGACAGTTTCGGGTTTCAATGGTACACTCACCCTACATGGACCCCCGAAAAATACATCCTTTTTCAAGGGTCGGGGCACGTAGTACCCCTGAATAGACTTGGAACCCCCTTGGAGCCATGTCATAAACCCTAAACCACGTATGGGGGATTGTCAAAATTATGGTCCCTTTTTGGGTCCCTATTATAGTACGGCACCTAATATTTAGGGTACCCAAAAAGGGACCATAATTTTAACAACCACCCATATTGACTTCTTGAGTCCCTTTGAGCCCCAAGCAGCTCCAGGCAAGACAAAAGCAGAAGCTTCCATAATGCTGAGAAGTACCAGTTGTTAGTTATACGATTTGGGTTATGATTATATGAATTGGTTATATTATTTGGCTTATGATTATTATTAACCTCCAAGTAGGTTTGGAGCCCCTACCCCGAAGCTTAAACAATGTCAAATCCATTTGCTAGAGCTCCTGGATTTTGCGTGAAACGAACGCGTGTTAATCCCTTCATGCCCCCAGTTCGAAACGGCTAGGAAATCTACCTGACCATTCTCTGAGCTTGGCATTACACCTAAACCCTAAACCCTAAGCCCCCAAACCCTCAAACGCTTAAACCCTAAAACCCTACACCCTAAACCTGAAAGCCGTGTCCTTCCCAAGCCGTAGGACAGCTTTGGGCATTGGGTGCAGCCAATTGGCTTCGTGCACTGGCCGATCCAAGATGGGCCCCTTGGACTTTTATTTGGGGTTATATTGGGTTTATGTTGGGATCCCGGAAAATAAAATGGAAACTACTATTTAGGGTTTAGGATTTAGGATTTACGCCCCAGGGTTGAGATCGGGGATATAAGGGGCCTATATAGGTGGAGGATCAAACGGACAAGAACATGCGAAACAAAATGGAAACGGGGATTACGGATTACAGCGTTCAGGGTCACTGCTTTGGACATAGGGCTTTGGGGTTTGGGGATCAGGGCTCATTTGGTTGAGATGAGGGCTTGGATTGGAGATGGATTTTGGCTGAGGGCTTAGCTAGTCTTCCGAGGTGGAAAGGAAACCGTTATCTAGTGAGACGATTTGTTTCTCAAGGACACTGCGGCCTCATTTTTTTAGCATTTACAGCCCTCGAGGGGCCTTTCGGGACATGCCACCAGGGAGTTAATCTTTGTTCAAGTTAACCTTTCAACACCTCAAAAACGGCAATGCCCATGCCGGGTTTAATCACCCAAGACTACATCACTGCTTTCTGAGTTCTGTTCATGTTCGTGAGATGCATGTATGTGGGTTGACGATGTCTGAAGGATTGATCAACTTCCCGAAGCGCTGTCTCTGCCAAATCCCATGGTGCTGGACTCTAAATCCTAAACTCTAAACCCTGAACTTTATGCAGTCAATATGTGGGTCGTGGGAGGACACAACTTTCAGATTTGGACAAACAGGTGGATGGCTCATTGTGTCAGACTTCCCTGATGTTTTCAATGCCTTTTAGAGGGTCTTTGGGTAGTGCAGGGGGCCCTGAACCCGAAAGTTCAGGCCCTTGAACAGTTGCTCTTAGTGCGGCTTGAGGATGATCCTGGTCCCAGACTTGCCTGAACCGGGGTCCACTCTCCAAGTGGAGGGGTGGGAGTACTGCGATGTTCAGCACCTTCAACCTCTTGATGATTTGATTACCCTCTTTTCTCGGAAAAAAACCTCCGAAATCTGAGACCCTAAGCCCTAAGCTCGAAACCCAGGTACTGGTACAGAGACATCCGCTACTACAACCTGACCAAAGGGGAAGTCCGCTTCGCGACCCGTGTCTTTCCATGGACTTTGTACCCTCCAGCTGTTACTGGGTTGCTGTTAAGGAACTTAAACTAAGTTACTATATTGGGGAAACCCTATTATTTACTATATATATATATATATACACCCATTATGGTAACCCTAAACCCTAAACCCTATATACCGTATAAACCCATTATGGTACCTTAAAATTAGGTTCCTTAACAGCAGCCCAGGTTATGAAGTCTCTGGGTGACAATTGAACGCTTCTGCCGATTTCCCATTCTTGTGGTATTCATAACTTTTGATAATAGGGATTATAATAGGGATCCTAATATTTAGGTCCTCAAAAGGAAGGGATGTGATTGAGAGATGTCGCATTGAAGGCACGGATTTGGGTCATGAAAGCCCCAAATCAAGGTTGTCAAGTCTAAGACCATCCTCGGATGACCAAGGTCTCACATGTTCACGCCGATCTACAGTCCAAGTGGGGAGCTTTGCTTTCAACTTACAGGTTTTCAGTAGGGTGTAAGGGAATATATTCTTCAAGGATTATATAGGAAAGACATTCCCATTTTGCCTACTGGGAACCAGTAAGTAAGTGAACGATGCGCAAATGTTTGTCTGTCGTCACGAAAGCACACTCAGCATGCCCTTTCATTGCGACGGACCCCGCAACCCCAGTCAACCCCAACCTTTTATCCTAAAACGCCAAAGTAAGACTCCCAAACTCGCCAGCCCGAACCCCGTCGGGCATGCCTAGAACCCTAAACACTAAATCCTAAACCCTGAACCCTAAACCCTAAACAGTAGTTTGCATCTGTTCTTCCATTATCCCTATATAAGCCTGATATTGCCCCAATGGGTGGTCCAGGAGCAGATTGGTGGATGGGTGGTGGGATTCAAGCTGCACTGGATCACCAAGTATCTGCAAGAAATGAAGAAGCCGGATGGTACGTTCATCTTCATTGCAGCTTGATTTTTGTTGTGGGTGGTTTGGAGGGAAGGGAGTATTGGGTCCTTATTCTAAAAGACTCCCTTGTAGTAGTCTCCCTATCCTGTTGATGTATTCTTGAACCATAAACGCCGCCAGAAAACTCTTGTCATGTCACGGGTGTGTAGCCTAAACCCTAAACCCTGTAGGGGTTCATATACACCCTCTAATCCCTATATAACCCCTATATAACCCCTATAACCCCTACATAACCCCTATATAACCCCTACATAACCCCTATATAACCCCTATATAACCCCTATAACCCCCATATAACCCCTATAACCCCTATATTATTATGTCCGGGATGGTTGGGAAGGAAGTGCTAAGGTTGAGCGCAGCACTGGCGTGCTCATCTCCACCTCGGAGCCTGAACTGTGCAAATCCAAACTTTCCAGGTTCCTTAGACCCCGGTCTATGTATCTATTGGGGGATACTTAGGGTCTATAGAGGGTACTTGGGGGGTCTAGGTCTTCCCTAACGCAGACCCATCCCCTCCTTTTAAGGACCTAAATATTGGGATCCCTACTCTAATCTCATTACAATCCCTATTATAATCCGTATTAAGGGGAGGGGTTTATGAATCATGCGTCTGGGTTAACCCATAAACATTGCATAAACTCTGAACCCTGAACCCAGTTTCTTCCTTCCGCTCTTTGATTTTTCCTGCAGGCTTAGGCTGCACCTGGAATCCCAGGCTCCCAGCAAAGGTCCTGCAACCCTAAACCGGAAAGAGGCTAAAGAGGGGTGTACACTCCACATCTTAGCCACACCTCGAATCTCTAAACCCTGATTAGGGTGTGGGGTTCATAGTCCCGAGCCCCACTACGTCTCCTAAAGAAAGGAACCGGATATTCGGGTTTTGCGCGATTACAGCACCAGTGCGAGCTATAATGACGTGATCCTGGCAACCGAGTGTCCAGATGCCCGATGCTTGGCAAGCTGTTGGACCAGTATATGGGGGGGGGATACAGGGGATACACATATATATATAACACAATTTATATGTATATATGTACACATGTCTGTGTATATATATATATGTATGTATGTATGTATGTATGTATGTATGTATGTACACATGTCTATATATATATATGCATAGGAGTATGAAGGGGTAACTGCAGCCAACAGAACCCCTAAATCTAGCCACCCTGACGATAAACCTTTAACCAAATGATCCGAATCTTAAAGCTGTAAGCTGTAGATGCCTTCAACTCCAAACCTTCCAGAGAATCCTGATTCCAAGTGGCTCTTACATGCCTTGGGTTCAGGGTTTATAGGGGCTCTGTAGGGGTTATATGGGATTTGCATGGGGTTATATAGGCATTTATAGGGGTTAGATTGGTGTTTACAGGTAGGTTAAGCAAGTGCACTCAAAACCCTAAAGCCCTTACCCAACTGAACCCTTAGAGTTACTTGAAAACGACCAGGAGTGTCGGAGCGTGCTAAGAAGCTTCTGGAAATGACCGGCGGTTCCGCGAAGGCCTTCGGGTTAGAACTTCAGGGTGTTTAGGGTTTAGGGTCTAGGGTTTAGGGTTTTTTGGTTCAGGGTGTGGTGGCTGGCAGTGTAGTAGAAGGCTGATGAAGAGGGACTTGGGACGCCTTTAGTTGTTTCCCCAGAGCCAGATCCTTAGAGGGATCCAAGACTTGGATCCCCCAGAATTATGAGGTTTAGGGTTTAGGGTTTAGGGAATAATGTAGGTGCTATTATAAGCTTGTATAAGGCCTTTAGTTGTTCGATCCTGCTAGGGTTGTGGGGTTTCTTCGAGGACTGGGGCGCTGTGCGGAACACGATTCTGGGCTGCTGTTGAGGAACTTGAACGAAGCCACCATGATAAGGAAAACCTGTCATTCGCAAAGGACACTCCATTATTAACTATGTGCGGATTTTCATAAGTAGGGGGGCCGCTTTGTAGACCTCAACATATGTAGACCAGGAAAGCCTCAGACATGTATAGATATAACTACACCTAGATATAAATAGATAAAATGTGTATAAATAAATAAATATATATATATATATAAATACATATATTCATGGGTATTTCTGGGGATGGTCCGTGGAATCCCTAATAGGGACCCCATCGCCCCTACATAATGCCCAGATGTATCCTTGGGATCCTAGAATTCCGTTTTTGAATTTCCATACTGTGGTAACTTGATTTGAGCTATAGTCTAAACTCCTTAAAGGGGAGTTATATAGGGGATTATATAGGGGACTATTATAAGGGGTATTAAGGGGTTACTAGGAGTTTAGACTATGGCTCATGTAAGTTCCTTAGCAGCAACCCAGGCTCGGAGATCAAGACCACTGGCACGGAGCGGGTGGAGGAGTGCCTTTGTCCTCGCATTTTTGTGAACCTAAAACCTAAACTCAAAAAAAACTTCTAAGCCCTAACGCCTAAACCCTAACGCCTAAACCCTAACGCCTGAATCCTAAAGCCTAAACCCTAAACCCGGGACCCGCAGCCCAGCACTGGCTGAAATCCACCTAAGGCCTCTCCAAGGCTCCTCAAAGTCCCCACATATGAGCCATAATCTATGCTCCATAAAGGGGGTTATATCTGGATTAAATAGGGGACCTACTACAGGGGTTATTGAGGGGGATACGAGGAGTTTAGACTATAGCTCATATCATAGCGCCATCTCGTAGGCTTTGCCTTTCGCCCTCTCAATCTCGATTGTTCGCCTATACCCAGCCCGACATGCACGCCAACAGACTATGATTCCTTTTAGAGGGGCTCTTACAAAGGGGCCCATGTTTGGAAACCCTAAACACTATATAACCTATATACCTTTATGTGGGTCCTATATGTCCCTAAATATGCCTGCATGTCCTCAAGGGGTACCCGAGCTTTCGGCAGCTTCCAGATCAAGATCGGGGAGGGAATGACTGTCTTAAGGCTTTCTCAAAATCCTGGGCCCTCTTCAGGGGTTCTCTTTATCATAGGTCTCAAAAGTATTGGTAGTGTAGGTTTAGGATTTAGGGTTTGGGGGGGAACCCCAAGTTTGAGAGGTTTTATCCACTTAGGTTCCTTCTTTCTCGCGACTTCGCGTTCGCGGGACTGGACTGGGTTATCGTCATCACGATCCCTGGGGAGACGATCTTGGAGGATATTAATGCCAACATGATTGTTCGTGTCCCGGCTTTCAAGAAGCAGGTCCAAGCTTTCTTACCTAGGGTGTTCAATGTGATTTCAAAAAAGCCAGCAGTAAGAAAGAACTTGGACCTTGAAGGGCTTGGACCTTGCTTCAGACGAGTGGGGCTTTGCGAAAATTAGGGGTACGTTTTGGGGTCCCCATAATGAGGATTCTAACATATTGGGGTCTATATTTGGGCCCTTCATTTTGGGAAACTACCTAGTATTCCCCTTTACAGCCCCCATAGTAGTCCCTCCTCTGAGAAGTTTAGACTATAGCTCATATTTGGAATTTCATGCCAGAACAGCAAAATGACGCGCAGGCAGCATCATTTTTCTGCGAAAGTCAAGCCAACAATTTGACATGGGTGGCTGCAAAAAATGTGGGCCTAGTTTTTTTAGAACTTTTGTTACAACGGTTGTCGTAAGGTGGCTGACTACCTGCTTTTGGCACCATGAGAGGCCGAACCCTTTGCAATGTGGGAGTTTCAATCCTAACTGTCCATCCATCCGCAGTCCTGCGTGTTCTGGGTTTCTGCCAAGGAACTTAAGTCAATTGACTGTCATATGGGTCTATGGTAACTAACAGGGTTTTCTTACTATGTTCCTAACCAGCTTATGTTTCAAGGCTTCAAGTGACTTCAGCTCTACATCTTTTCAAACTCCAAAGTCTCAGCCTCAAATGAACCCTCAACCCTTTACCCTTAACCTCGGCCCGCAACAAAGAAACTCGGCCCTGAGGCATGAATAATTGTCAGAGTAGTCTCAGTTATTATGATGTACCAAGACTATCCAAGATTCCCAAGAAAGCCTGAGGCTTTATTGCAGCATGGATGCGTCTTTCTGGCGTAGCAGCAATCAACAAACGTATGGGATTTGTGAAAACGGGGGTGCCTTTGGGACCCACATGTTTCTAGGATTTCTTGGTTAATAGAGATTATAAGAGGACCTGTATTAGTTTTTTGGGGATTACTTTGAGAGACACCCATAAATAACCACGCGTGGTGATCACGGGAATGCTTTTCATACCAGGGAGAATATTTACGGTTCTGATCTGTTCAGAGGTTGCTGCAGCATTTTTGGCTTCTAGCTTGTCTGATTTAAATGCGGTGCCAAGTTCCTAGGTCCTGGAAGGACGGCACCCCGACTTGGGAACCTGAAGAGGCCCTGGACCCTAAACCTTAAACCCTCAACCCCCAACCATAGTTGCCACAGCTCCTCAGATCTCTCCAGGCAAGATCGAAAGTGGGGATCTAATAAAAGTCCAACATTTACACAACCTACCATGTATACCCTGATCTCTACACATTTCCAATTCCATTTCGTTTTCCTTTTCTTTACAATTTGCTAGAATAATAGCCCTAAACCCAAAATCCCTTACATGCCTGTACAGCCCTTACCTCCAGTGTTCAGGTAACTTAAGTCCATTGCTTGCATGTTTCCCCAGTGACCCACATTGCGTGCAGCATCGCTTGTAACCTGTAACATTCCTAAGCCCTGTACTCCTAGACCCCTGAACCCCTTGACCCTTAAAGCCCTGAACCCCCCCAAACCTTCAAACAAGCAACCTAAACCCTAAACCCTAAACCCTAAGCCCTAAACCCTAAACCCTAAACCTGAGGTCTTCTCGCCATCCTGGGAGTCACAGGCGGCATGAAAATCATTTCGTCGGCTGTGCTTTTGTCGGCGTTGGCCCTTTCTGCAGCTCGGTAGCACGAATTCAAGGCCATGGAGCTTGCGCTGTAGGGTGGGGTTTCTGGGCTCTTGAGGATGGATGGTCTTGTGGATTTGGGGAAAATGGTTCATTGGGGTTGTATTAGGCTTGGTTTAGGGTTATATTATCCCCCGATCATGCAGAATCAAATGGAAAAGCAAATGGAAAATGGAAACAGGGGTTTAGGGCCTAGGTTGGGGTCTGGAGCTGAGGCTTGAAGTTTTGGAGTTTAGGGTCCAGGGTTTGGAGCCTTGGGTTTGTAGAAGTCAGGTCCTGTTTTCGGTAGCTCTGTCCGAAAGCATACCAGGAGAAGGCCTGACATGATCACCCGTACAACCTTTATTTTTACCACAAATCCTACACCGTGTGACGCCCTGAAAGTGCATTACAGTAGTGACTTTACTGCTCAATCCAGGAGTGAACAAGGTCCCGAAATGCTGGGGAACGAAAAATAACATGGGCAGTACTAAACTCAGAAAGTCGGAAACTAATGGGGACAACTGGGGCAAATGGCTTATATGGGGGACCCAAAGCTCCGATCTCTAAAGCCCCTAGCCCATCCTAGCTCTCAAACGATGAGTGCCCCCTACTCCTGAAGCTTCACACCTATAGTCCTGCTTAAGTAGATAGAATATGGGGTATATGGGGACCTCATTATAATATACCCAAAGCCATATTCTATCTACTTGAAGGGGGATTATAAATGAAGGTTCCAAGCTTGGGCCCCGACTATGGGCTGTAATTCGCTCTCCGGGTCCTAACGTTAGAACCCTGACTTTGTCGCCCATTCTCCCTTACCAATAAGATTCCAGGAATGCCAAACAGAGTCGAGAAACCAAAGTTCTTTATGTGGGAGATTTCTCCGTATTGAGGCCTTTTAGGACCTTGGGAACATGCGTATAAGGGCGTGTTGGGTGTCCTCTTGTATTTTTATGAAATATTCATCTCCACATTCACATTCCCCACGAGGGAGTACTTCCTTGGGCGGCTGAAGGTAAAATGTTGCGGCCAGGGTGGCGAAGAGGCTTCCGGCGCAGGCGGAATCGAGGACTGGGTTATGCTCAGGGTTCTCGATTTGTGGTAAGGGTTCAGCAGTTCAGCAGTGGGCTCAGCGTTCAGAAATCCTATTGTTCTAGGCGTTGTGGGTTGGGGTTGGGCCGAGGTGCTCGGGCTTGGTGCCTGAGGACCAGCGTCTGGGGCATGGGGACTTAATGCGTGAAATTCTGAGCGCTTTGCTTCTCGCGCTGGTATTGGATTGCAGGTGATCTTGGGTCAAGTGATTGCGCTTCAGGTTGCACGGTAGATGCATTTGTCACTCAAAACTCCTGACATGCGAAACGCAAAGTGTAAACCTTAAGACTGAGACCCCTAAGTCTCGAAGCTACAAGTCTAGATTCCAAGGATTGGATACAGCTCTTCTCCTTGGAGAGTTTCCAGGATCGTCCTAGCTTAGACATGCCTTGCAGGGTGGGGGAGTTGCGGGACCCTACACTATACCGGCTCAAGTGAGCCATAATCTAAACTCCCTTCAAGGAGGATTACATAGTGGATTGTATAGCGGACTACTATAGGGGTTATTCATGATTCTAGGGGTTTAGACTATGGGTTAAACGGTTGCAAGGATGTCATAGACACCTTCGATGGGATACGCGTGTGACCTCCGCCGGGCTATTCCTGACCATCATGAGCGGAGTTTCCGAACATCTGGGTTTCTGTTCGAGATGTTTTGGGCACTTTAGGGTGTAGGGCACATAAAAATCTTCGGAAACTGCCTTGGCTCTTTAAAGCTAGGGTCCCCTTGTTTGCATCTAAAGTGTAAGATGCTGGCTTTAGGGACTCTCCACAAGGGGACCCTGAATTTCCGAAGCGTTCCGATTTGGCTTGTTGATAGGTCGGGGGACGTGCAGGGCCCATGAAAGACTACGCAGATTTTGGTATTTGGTAGTTTCCTTTAATAGGGGGAGCACAATATAAACCCCAATTTATTTGAATCCTTATTCTGGGGAAGGACCTAAGTTTGGGAAAGCCCCTTTTAGACTTTGGGCCCTACGTCTCTCGTGGTATGCTTTGAGCAGGGAAGCCCTGCTTGGTAGTTCGCTTACATTGCGTAGCCGCCCAGTTTGCAGCAATCTCTGTGGCCACCGCTGACTTTAACCACAGAAAGCACAAAATGGTAATAATGATTTACCACAGACAGCGAAAAAATGGTACTGGTACCAGCGATGATGAAAAACCACATTAGGAAGGGTGATAGTGATGATGCTAATCATACAGCGGATCCTAAAAATCCTGCATGACCTTAAGTACGTTATACATTGGGGATTATGGTACTGTAGTATATGAAGGCCATGCAGGATTTTTAGCATCAACAGTAAGAATGTCACAGTCCATGCTTGCAGACTTTGCCAGAGTGCCGTCAGCTGACTGGAACTATCAATGTGACTGGCAACTTCAAGGCTTTCAGGTTTAGGGTTTGGGGTTGAGGTTTAAAGTTTAGGGTTAAGGTTTTGGGGTTCAGGGTGTGGGCTAGGATATATCATGTGATGTAGGGATATATAGGATTTAGGGCCTAGGGATATTATTCCTATCATGGAGAAGCTGCTCGACAAGAAAATGGAGAATCAAATGGAGACTCGGGATGATGTAGTGGATTATAGGGAAGAGCCTAAAGGTTAAGGGTCCCTGCTCGGGGTCCCCATGATGAGGATTTTGTTTACAACGTGGGGGTCTTCGCATTCGCAGAAACTACCGAACATAGAATCCAGCTCAAATTAGTTCGGGCTACAGAATACTTATTGAGGGGAGGGCCGCGTTTGGTTGTACCTTTGGGATATGTAACACATATATATATATATATGTATGTGTTGAGACATGGGGAGATTTTGTGAAGCTTTTTGAAGTTGTTTGAGAACCTCCTCAGCCCCCCTCAAAAACGTAGACCCCTGTCCACTCCAGGAATTTGTCCCTTACTGAATAGGGTCCGTACATCTCAGTAACCCAGACCATTAATAGGGATTATAATAAGGATCCGAATATTTAGGCCCTTAAAAGGAGGGGTTTATTAATCAGGGGTATTCAGTAGGGAGCAGCGGAGGGCTTTGGACTTAGGTTTAGGTGATCGCACACATGTGGTAGTCTGTGTTCTGAAGATGCTACATAGGGTTATATGGGGTTATATAGGGATAATGAAAAAAATGGAAACTTCTTCATTATAATAGGGGTTATATAGGGATTATAGGGATAATGGAAAAGAAAATGGAAACTACT